AAGCAGGAGGTGGCTGGGTCTTATTTCCTTATCACCTTGGGCTGTGACACCATATGACCTCAAGAGATTAAGTAGGGTCAAGCAAGCACTTGAAAGAGATGAATCTGTATTTTTCCCCTGTAGGTTGGTTTCATAAATCATAGGGTGAAACTGTTGCTTCTGAATTAATGCTGTCCTAATCCATTAGTGAAGTACTTGAATGATGTTTTGTTACTCAGTGTACTATTTGTGAATGAGTCTGAAAATGATACTTTCTTGACTGCTAGTATATTCTTCACAGCTTTTATGTGGAAGGGTCATTTTACTTCCATTTTCAGCCACATTAAAGTCAGGAATCTAGATAGTGGTGTCTTTTTTTTTTTTTTTAGAATTTTAATTCAGCTCCCTTATTTCTGCTGCTTTTCCTGCATTTAGTGCCATTTAACGTGCCTATTTCTGTTCCCTTTTTTTTTTTTTTTTTTTAGAATTTTAATTCAGCTCCCTTATTTCTGCTGCTTTTCCTGCATTTCATTCTCCCTTATTTCTGCTGCTTTTCCTGCATTTAGTGCCATTTAACGTGCCTATTTCTGTTCCCTTTTTATTCATCATTAATGTAGGCAGTATCATTTGTTATGCAGTGAGAGATTAAACATATGCTATTAATTTTGATGGAAGATACCTGGCCGAATTTTAAGGTTGTTGTTTCCCGATAGAGCTGTGTACTCCCAAGCATGATTTTATGTGACAATTGTTATAAGGGGAACAGCTGATCGTGCAGCAAGTTTCTAAACAGGTTCCGTTTCTACTCGTTCTTAGCAAAAAGTGTGCCAATAAAGATAGCCTAAGGCTCACTCGTGTGATTTGCTTCACTGTTAAAGGAAAAGATGCTGCAGTTTGCAACTTACTCTTTTCTGACCTAATCTATCTTCTGGTATTTTACTTCTACTTTCCCTTCCTCACTTGAAGGAATTCTCCAACTCTGTCTCAGCAGATCTCACATCCTATCCTTTTCTTTAGGTTTTGTTCTAAAATAAACCATTTCGTTTGACATTTGAATGTGTCAGCAAAGTCCTCTGGTTCCCTACACGAGATTTTGCAGCTTGACACACAGTTCTCTAACCTGCTACTGACTTCACAACTCCAGTCTTCCACATGATTTAGTACATCTCTTTGGAAAACTATGTTCACATTTCAATTGTAGTAACAATGATTGCTTTGCCTCTGAGAATGATGTTTATGCTGTTTCTTAATGATGTGGTTGATATAGTATAAGATGTGTCAGCAGTATATGACTTTCCTCCCTCAGCCCTGATATTAAGTTAAAATCAAGGGAGTTCAAAAAACGTATTCCAAAGACATTAGACTTTTGTGATAAACAATACTTTACCTGAAATATTTCAAAGAACACTGTGAGAAATTAACCTATTAGGGAGAAATCTCAAAAAACTTAAAGGCATTCAAATGCTTTTTCAAGAAGAATTTGGGGCATCTATAGATGGGAGCTTCTTTGTGAACACAAGTTTGAGACCAAAGGAGCGCTATCTGTTTCACTAACAAACATTATCTCAAATTTCTGTATGTTACCTGAACAAGATCAGACTGTCTCATCTTTATGTAAATAAGGTCTAGCACCTGAAAGTCCAGTGGTTTCTGTGTATACATCCTCATGCAAAGATATGAATAGGCTGAAGAAAATAATTCTATGTATATACCACTTTCATGCCTCTCTACACCACACAAGAAGTGTTGAGAGCAAACCTACCTGGTCAAACTGAGTCAAATGGAGGAAGTTCTGACAGTTTAGTATGGGTGCTTGAGTAGGATTGCTGGAAATGCCCGTTATGCACTTCCATTCTTAAAAGAATTGAAAGCCGGTCAGTCAAGCCTCCTCTTCTCATCTGACCGTATTTATTTTATTTTATCTGACTGTATTTTATACTACTGATGAGGCAGCTTTTGCTGTGTTAAAATGTCATTAAAATCAATTAAATGAGTTGTAATTCCCAGAATTTTTCCTTCCTGAACAAGAGAATATGGATTAACACAGGGATAAACACTTCAAGGAGAATATCTTTCTATAAGGTTTTTATATCTACTATCAAGAAACTAGTTTGATAAAAGTACCAACAGAACTTTCTCAATGTTTGCAGGTATTAAGACTTCATCTCCCTTGGATTTTGCTTACTTTGGTAATTTTCATGTTGCTTGAAAGATTTCCCACTTGTTCATTATTTTTCTGACTGCTCTGAAAGCGGTTACAGAAAAATTTTCTTTCCTTTTGTGCAGTTCCACAAGGAGCTTAGTTATTCTGAAAGATACAAGGCAGAAAATAGAAGGGTGCCTTTTGCAGTATGAAGGGAAACTTGTATGTAAGTAAGTAAATCTGCCTAAAAGTCTGCATTCCTTATTTTGGCAGCACTCTTCATCAGAATCATTAGCATCCTGGTCCCAATAAAATTTCTAATTAGTGTTTTGAAACCCTAATTTGAACCCTACCAGATGATGTTTCTGATGAAACCTATATCATTTTTGATTATCCAGAATAGTAAGATCATCTTAAGGGGAAGACTGAAATATAAAAGTTATGTGAACTCCAGATAACCCACCTGGGAGATTACTAACGAGATAAGATGGCCAAAGATGTAAGAGGTGTTATTAATCAGCAGATTTGGGATTCTTTTTGCAGGCGTATGGACAGTTTAGCTCGGGTGGGGAGCAGTAGCCTATAAACTCTGCTACTGTAGGTGCCACGCAAGCCTTAAACAGAAAGGTTGCTGATAATACAGGGAATAGGTGGGAAATGTTTATTGAGCACTAGAGGGGTAGCTGTGATACTGCTAAATATTATAGCTCTTCTGGCAGAAGTTTTAGAAGTTAAGACTTTAATAAGTTACGGCTTCCCAACAAAGTTGGATCAAAAACAGATGTCAAGGGAGGAAGAATCAAGAAAAATGGTTGTAATTGCTGGGTAATAGAAGTAATAGCTTTTTACTTCCACAGCTAGTACTGATCACAAAACAAGATCAGACTGCTCTAAGCAATCAGAGAAGATTAAAAGCAGGCTATATCTGGTATGCCTGGAAACAGGATGATATATTAAATACACTTACAATTTGTGTAATAAGACAGCTTCATATTAATTCTTTCATAAGAAAAGATTAATTTTGCCCTGGAGCAGCATTTCTCTGGTGCTTAACTCATGTTTGTGCAGAGTTCCCTGCTTGCAGGCACAATGACACATGTGTTTTCTCTCAACTTAACATTAGAGGCTTGCAGAAGATGTAATGGGCTGCCACATACTTCTGATTTCCTAACATCTTAAAATACTATAGTTTCAATGTTGACTGTTATATTTAAGTTACCTTTATAAAATTATACTGCTTATATCTTTCCAGTAGCATATGCATTACATTATTTTTAATTTTGCTGTATCTCATGATTAGGGTTCTCCCTCCCCAGTAAATTCTTGGATTACTATGTTTGTGGGGGTTTTTTTTGTTGGTGTTTTTTGTTTTGTTTTTTTTTAAACTTTCAGCTTATATCTTAGTGTCAACATAATAAGATTGAACATGAACATTTTTGCTTTTTCTTTCTTGTTTGTTGCTATTCTCTAGTTTCCTCTGATGTTTAGGGTAAGATGAGTTCTAAGCTTAAAGCACTGTCTAACAGACCCTGAGCATCTTCCTGATATGTTTTCGTTTGGTATCACCTCTTTCTTTGTTTGCCGCTGCTTTTGTTCCTTGGTCCTTCTATCAGGAGTAAGGGAGAGAGACTTCGACGACAGGTAGTGGCAATAAAAATCCTGTGGCGTATGGCAGAGCAAATAACAGCACTTGGGGCCATCATGTCCTCTGACTGCAGTGATGTGAGGGGGAAGAAAACGTGAAGAATCTTTGGTATGCCGATGTATTTTATGCTGATGAAAACATAAATGTTTTGATTTTTAATAGCCACTGGGCCTGCAGTTTCTGTGCAGATCCCAATCTTGGTAGCTTTGATTGCAGTGGTAACTGTGGGCTTCATACAGAAACTCTGCTTTGTACAAGATGGTAACCCAGTTATCTAAATCTCTAATGTGCTTTCTAGGAGGTGTAGCTTGTAAACATGTTTTACTTTAGCTAATCGGCCAAGAGATCATAGTTGGCTGCGAAAGGAAATTTCCTGTGAAAACTTGGAATGATTTTAGACTTTGAGAAGTCTAAAATACTCTGGACAGCTTCACTTGCAATTTTTTTTTTTTTTTTTCTTTTTGTAACATTGTGGTGCAGCTTTATGTGATGATGACAAAACTGAAACTGACTTGGCATTCAGCTAAAAAAGAATGAATCCTCTCCTGTTAGAAGAGTTATCCAGGATTATGTTAGCTATCATAAATATCCTTTGCTTAGCAACAGGGATGGCATTCAGGATATCAAGCCAACTGGAAAGAATCCCTCTGACAGGGCTCTGTTGGGGTGGGTGGATAAGCTTTCCCGACAACACTGGTGCTTTCACTCCTGTCTGTCATAATTTGTGTTGCTAGGATCTGTTTCACAACTTTTGTGACAGACTTATAAATGATACTGTGGCTCCTTTTGTTTACTGTCAAAGAGAACCATAATGTGGGGAAAGTGAACAGTAAAAGGATATGGGAAATAATAAAAAATCTGAACACATAAGACCATGAGTGTCTACACTAGGGCAGCTGTTCTTGAAGGGAAAAAGAGGTCAAAAAAAATTCTTTTCGATTACTGAAATGGAAAGCAATATATGGTAACATTCCACTTCTTTATTTTTTAGGAACTTGACTTCTTCAGCAAAACAAGAAAGAAAGAATTTAGTCATAAGTTGAAAACTTCAATTAGAATTCAGGAGACTTCACATGTATCATGCTAACCATTAATGGTGAAATATATTTTGATTCACAGATGTAATACACATTCCTGCTTCCAAATAATTTTTTTTTTTTTTTTTTTTTATAAATTTGTTGTTTCATTATCAGTCCACTCAGCCTGCTTGAACTTTTATACTTTTGCTTTCAGGGGAAAAAGAAGCTGAACAGACAGTTGCAGAAATCATGAGAAGGCGTTTTTTTCCTGCTGTAATAACTCATAAGGCCTGGGAAGGCTTTCACTTTGCTGGCCATGAGATAAGAATTACAGAAGCCACTGATTGTTATGGGGCAGTCGTCTGGCCATCGGTACAATATTTATGCAGTATTGTTATTTTTTAGTTTTGGAGTCTTCTTGAACTTTTTTTTTGCATGAAAATATGTTTTGTTGTATGTTGTAAACCCAAGAAAAACATTCTCTGCTTCTCTGTCTGCATTCAGTAAATCCTAAACCTGAATTTAGCCTGGTTTGTATGGATTCCTGGTTTTCAAAGCTTAAATGGTGTTTCTTGTTTGTGCCCCTGTCACACAAGACGTATGACCGTGTGTCCCCTCCTCACCTACTGGTAATTTTTGATCCTATTGGCCAATTATAAACATATTTTGAAGGAAATATGGCAGTCTTAGGATGATTACATTTCTGTATATTTTATAAATATAGACAGATGTATAGCAGGCAGATCCAGGTTGCGGAAACAGCTGTGATATGAGCTCACAAGGTATTTGCACTCATAGAAGCTACTCAACCTACTTGTGTGAGAAACAAATTTACCTTGTAAAAGCACTGACAGCGGAAAAGGTTCAGCTGGAGCTTTCAGTTTCTTAAACAACCAGAAATCTAGTGGGAGAGAACCATTGTCCTTGGCTCTTGATGTAAGAACCATCAACATGCCCACCATGCAAAGAACCTTCTTCAAGGTTTTGAATCTGTGCAATGCAGCTGACAGACTGTTTTGAAATAATTAAGAGTGAAAGAAACCACTACAGTCAGGAAGGTGCCATGATGCACCATTGACACTTGTGTGTCAGAGACATCCCTGAAACAGAACCATCTCAGGACCCCCTACAGGGGGGAGAGGTCTAAAACTCAAGAGGTTCCATTTCTCTCCCAATGGCATCAGCTTCCTAGGATTGTACTATTTTAAGAAATACGGCCATAGTTCAGCTGAGGAGAGTTAGTGTACTCTGATGTTTTGTACTGCAAACAATTTTCCTTGTCTTAGCAGACCTGGAAAAGTCATTTATACTGTATCTCTTGGTGGCCTCAGTGCATGTCTTCGAGAAAAGGTTCACTGACTGGAAATTAGTCTCACAAAATCATGGGTGATACTGAAAAGCACATTTTTTTTTTTTCCTGGGAAGGTTTAGCCAGTTTAGCTGTGGAAGTAAGGCAACCCTTCCATATGTGTCTCTTCACATTCTCCTTTCTTGTTCCATCCGGCAGTATTTGAACTCTTCTGAAAAATTTCAGCCAAAATTTGTCAAGAGGGCAGAAACTTTAAGGAAAATAAAGTTTCTGCATGTTTCATGGAAAGGAAGCCAGATTTCAAAGTTTCTCTAATTTTGCCCACAGAAATTTTGATCCTGCCAGTCAGTTTCTACAACAGAATATGGCAAAATTCCAAAGGAAGAAATTATAGGAATATGTTGGACTAACAGAAAAATCTCAATATAATATGGTTTAAAATGTCAATTAATCATTAGATGCAAACTTCAGGAACCTGGCTTTAATTAGTCCTGGTGCTCACAGACTTATTCCTGTATCAAAGCTTTGTAGATTATGAGATACTTCTATATCTAAGTTTGCAAAAAAGACTCTATTCTTTTGCTCTGAATGAAGAGGTAGAGAGCAAAAACTGTGTTTGAATTCTAGCATGTCAACATTGGGTCCATTGGGTCAACATTCCTCCTTCTCCTTTCCTTCTACTTCTTAACTGATTAAAAGTAAAACTAAGAGCATAATTTTACTGTGCCAGACTGAGCCACTAATAATTGCCTTTCCTTTTCTGTATTGCAAGAGGATGTGGCAACCATCATATGTATTTGCCAATGGAGACTGTATCATTATCTAAGTAAGTCTGGGAAGAAGTGTTGGAGACAAGCTGGAAACTACCGGTGTTAGAGAAATAAAAGTAGCAATTTCTATTTCAACAGTGGACTAAAACTCACTGCCCAGTGTGGGACAGGACAGAAGAGCTAAAGAAGCTTAGTCACAGTTTATAACTGCATATATAAAGAGTCTGTTGTAGAGGGCTCTGTGGCTTTGTTTGCTGTAAAGGTTTGCTATGCTTAACAAGGTAAGCACAGAAGACCTGAAAAATTGAACTGAAAGAAAAGGGGCAAATCTATTGGTCCCTTTTGAATCATTATGGTACTTAATTATTGTTAGAAATAATTAACTATTAGAAGAGCTTAATGAGGGTTACTGTGGATTTTCTTTTACAAGCAGTCCTTATATCAAGATGTCGTTGTGAAGGACATGTTTTAGCTCAACCAGAAGTAAGTGCAGTTATAAGCAGGAATTGCTGACTGGAATTTTATAGCTTATGTTATGCAGTGTGACAGATTAGATAATTGCAGTTGTTCCTTCTGGCTGTAATGCTTTGCAAGCCTATATTAAGGCATGTAGTGGCATTTATTTTGTCAGCCTAAAGAGCTCAAAGATCATAGTGAGCTGTGATCCTTTAGGGACAGCACTTGAATGAATATTGCTCATTTGAAGAGACATGAAATCACAAAAGAATTTTTTTGCATGCTTTTAAATGACAATGCATTTTAAGTGAAGTGTTTTATTCATTTATTTATTCAATATGTTCATGGATTCCCTCCCCTACAGGCTCTTGTTCTGTGTTATTTTTTGGAAACTAATTCTAAACGATACAATTTGGTTGACAAAAATGTGATTGAAATTGGAGCTGGAACTGGGTTGGTCTCCATAGTAGCCAGTTTACTGGGTGAGTACAGCCGTTGCTCTTATGCTCTTGGAAACATCTCTCAGATGAAGACTGGAGGGCAAAGGAAGTGGCTCAATTCCTCTAAAACGCTATTGTTTGAAAGGTTCCAAGAGCAAGAAAAAGTAAATTCCAAAAGACTTGTTTGGAAACCTGTTCTGTTATTTTTTCCTGTAAAGCTGTGATTGTATTGATACAATGAAGGAGGTCCTAGTAGATAATGTTTTCATTAACAGTGTTAAACAGGGGATCAAAATACGAAACCAGTGGCCTCACAGGATGTCAGTGGCAACCAGATGAAGCCAGATGTAGGTATGACCAGTACATCACCTTCCATTGACCAAACAGCTCTTGGATGTCAGGACAGTAGTGCTCCGTGGTAGGACAAGGGGCAACAGGCACAAACGGGAACACAGGAAATTCTGTCTCAACATGAGGAAAACTTTCTTTGCTTTGAGGGTGCCAGAGCACTGGAACAGGTTTCACAGAGAAGAATATCTTCTCTGGAGATATTCAAAACCTGCCTGGACTTGTTCCTGTCCCACATGCTTTAGGTGAATCTGCTTCAGCAGGGAGGTTGGACTACATGATCTCCAGAGGTCCTTTCCAACCCCTGAGATCCTGTGATTCTATGACACATTCTTTCTGTTTATGTTCAGCATTTTCTTTCAGCAACTGATCTTTGATTTTACTGCTACAGAGACTATTGTGTTTCCTCTCATGGTAGCCTATTCTTCCTCAAGAGTAATCCAAATCAGTGACTTCTGCATTTTAACAGAATCTTAGCTTTCTGCAGTCTGAGAAATATTCTTACTATGTGAAAATGAAACAACATGAGGCAATGCTTAAATCTCATGCTGACTTTTTTTTGGAGTAAGCATTTAGTATTTTTCAAGCCCTACTTAATCACTGTACTTTTAACCAATGTGATATCAAGACTCAGTAAGTATCTGATTTCTCCCCACCCATTCCTGGCTGCATTTAGATGGCAATCTGTAGAGTTAGAACTGCCAGGAACCAAATATTTATTGTAAGTACAATGACTATGAGTTACTGGGAGCATTTACGGTGTTCTGTTCCCCACAGTGAGAGCTACCTGGTAAAATCACTTGTGCAGTGGCTTTTGTGAATGGACTTTTACCCAAGTCTTGAAGTATATTCAAAGATTACTTTTGTTTTTTTCCCTGTCACAGGTGCACTTGTGACTGCCACTGATTTGCCAGAACTGCTGGGAAACCTTCAGCACAATGTTCTCCAAAATACAAAGCTGAAATGCAAGCACCAGCCTCGTGTTAAAGAATTGTCTTGGGGAATTGATCTGGAAAAGAACTTTCCTAGGTCTTCCTGTCACTTTGACTACATTTTGGCTGCTGATGTAGTTTACCACCACCCCTTTCTGGATGAACTTCTCCTAACTTTTGATCACTTGTGCCAGAATGACACTGTTATTCTTTGGGCTATGAAATTTAGGCTGGAGAAAGAGAACCAATTTGTGGGCAGATTTCAGACACTGTTTGACTTAGAGGTGATTTCTGATTTCCCCAGCTTGAACATAACCTTGTACAAGGCAATGAGGAAAGGCAGGATGAAAGTCACATCTTCCAAAGTGATAGTCTGAAAGAGAGATGCAGGGGTTGAGAGTTCCAGCTGTTCTGCAGCTTGCTCTTTTTTTTTTTTTTAATATTTTCCATGTTAGTAGCTGCTAACACCTGCATAATGACATTCTTAGAGATAGCTGAGACAAAACATCAGGTTCTTAATGCATCCCCAATAAATTCCTAAATTCAATATGTGATTAGTTTATATACCGAAGAAATGTATCTTTGATGCTTTCTTGACTTTTATGTGCTAAGTTGACAACAGTAATAACTTTCATAAGTCTACCGTTATTGTTATGGGATGTATAATGAGTATTTCCAATAGCTTTCATGTGCAGCTTTGAACAGCATCTTATAAGATCAACCAATTATTTAAAACTTATAACTACGATAAATCTTTGTATTTAAAAGCTGTGGTGTTAAATCTGATCTTTCCCTGTTCCTACTATCGTGTAAATTCTTCCTTTGAATAGACTTTATAGAACATTAAATTAGCTAAAAAAAAAACACCTGGGAAATATACTGTCATAATAAAGGGAGAGAATATATTAGTTACTCTTTGATTTAATGATTATATTTTCTTTTCCTTTTCCATTTTTTTGTTTAGATTCAGGGGGTCCTCAAGAGACAGCTGCACACATGAGGCAAGAAGGAGTTAAATGTTTTGTTGCTTGAACAAAGGCCTTGAATAAGAGGAGTACAGCATATCACCAACTGCCCTTTGCAAAGACCTTGGAGGTCTGTCCCTCCAAAAATAGACAGTTATCTGGACCCCAGGGAACAGCAATGGAAAAACAGTGGCCATCAAGAGAGGAGTTTTGCACTGCCGGCTGGTGGTGACTGGAGGTAGAAAACTAAACCAGCCTGACGAGGTGTGGCTGAGGCATGGGCAGACTTAGATAATCTTTTTTTATGAGTACACAAAATACTTTTCTCCTAGCCACTTAGTACTGCCTGTTCCTCCTTTCAGTGATCAGATTAATGGGTTTGAAAGCCCGTTGGAGAACTGTCTTTTGGGAACAGTAATAAAATAATTCTTCGGAGACACAATTTTCTGGTTTTGCTTGCAGTTGAGTATGACAGAACTTCTAGTCCTTCATGGGCTAGAAGGGAAGCAAACCCAGCTCATGTGCTAATGACCATGCAGAGCTTTACCACCTCTGCTGTAGCAGGCAATTGCTCTATTAATATTGAGGGCTCAGGGGGCCATCAGTCTTTATCTTTTAGCTCCTGTCCCTCCAGGAGATTTTTATGTGTCATCAAACTTGAGCATTTTTTTTAAGGTGACTTCCAGAACATACTAATGTTTATACCTCTTCTTGTGATGGATGCATATTACTTATTTAGCCTGCTGTGTGGCACAAGTATGGGGCAGAACTATGACAAATGACTGGTATAACTGGAATGTACTCTTAATGCCAGCTGAACATTTTATTTTCTTGGGACAAAGGTTCCCAGCATTAGAAATGAAATGGTGCAGAAATAAGAGTCTGAGCTGCCAAGCTTTTCCAGTGGGAGCTGGAGATCCTGTGTATGAATGGAAGTGGTGAAGAAAATTTTGTGAGGAGGATGTGTCAGGAGGAATTTGGAAGTGAAGGGAGAATTGCAGAGAAAAGGTAGCTAGAGGGAGAAGATGAGATGGAGGAAGAGAAAGAGAAGAGGTTTCAACAGTGAACCTGACTCCAAAAAGGGTTAGGAATGCAATAGCACAAGGGTAGACCACCTTTCTTGTCACTGACTGTAATGAGGGCAACATTAGTGACTATGGAGGATGACTCTGTGATAATATTAGAGCAATCAGTATTTCTCAGACTGGGACAGCAAAATCATAGAATAGTTTGGGTTGGAAGGGACCTTTAAAGGTCATCTAGTCCAATCCCACTGCAATGAGCAGGGACATCTTCAGAGCCCTGTCCAACCTGACCTTGAATGTTTCCAGGGATGGGACATCTAATACGTCCTTGGGAGACCTGTTCCAGTGTTTCACCATCCTCATTGTAAAATATGTCTTCTTTCTATCTGTCTAGTCTAAATCTACCCTCTTTTCGTTTAAAACCATCATCCCTTGTTCTATTGCAACAGGCCCTGCCAAAATGTTTGTTCCCATCTTTCTTATAAGCACCCTTTAAGTACTGAAAAGCTGCAATAAGATCTCCCTGGAGTCTTCTCCAGGCTGAACAACCCCACCTCTCTCAGCCGGTTCTCATAGGAGAGGTGTTCCACCATTCTAATAATTTATGTGGCCCTCCTCTGGACCCATTCCAACAGGTCCATGTCCTTTTTATGTTGGGAGCCCAGAGTTGGATGCAGTATTCCAGGTGGGGCCTCATGAGAGCGGAGAAGAGGGGTAGAATCACCTCCCTTGATGTGCTGGCCACACTTCTTTTCATGCAGTCCAGGATACAGTTGGCCTTCTGGGCTGCAAAATGAGAAGAAAGAACATTGATTCTACTTTCTGGCTTACCTGCTGGGAGATCACCTATGAGATTTTGGCTTGGAAGTTATTAATGAAAATCATCTAATCCTCATCAGTTAGTTTCTTGTGGCAAGGTTTGTAGGTAGAGGTAGTATATTTTGTTGGACCAACCAGTATAGCTAGAAAATTGGACTCTATGCCAGCTGGTATGGAATATTATCTCTACTTACTTACAAATGTTATTCTGCTTATATCCTTAGATCCTTACAGCTATAGAAAAACAAAACTATATTTTTTTCCCGAAATGTAATTGAAATAGTTCAGTTTAAGTGAATAAAGAAACAAACTCAGATCTCTGCCATTTCTAGATTTCCTCTTCTCTCATCCTTCCTTCTAACTCACTGGCAACCATCAAATCTACTGCAATTGATGCTTTAATCCTGGCATCCCAAAGGGCATCTCTGTTTACAAATTTTTCATGGATAAACGGATTTGCTCTGTAATTAATGGGTAACGGTGAAAATATCTTGTGAATTCCAAAGTGTTGAAGGCTAAAGAGGAAAAGGAAGACTGCAGCAAAGTAGTTACAATGCAATCATCTTAAAATAACTGTTCTGCTGATTAGCCCTTGTATTTGGGCTGCAGGCTGTTCCCTGCTGAGCTCCTGCTGGAGTCAACAGGAGATGAGTTCATAGAGGGGATTCAGGATTGGGCCCTTTAGGCCCAACAGCTTGTTAGTATTTACTGTAATGTAACATTAGTGCTCTTTCTCACAAGTCTGTCTAGCACCACTGTGTGAAGCTTCCTGGGAAAGCTCGAGTGACTGGCTGCTCTATTGTACAGCCACCTTTTGTCCTCTGGTGTGATGGGCAGGTTATTAGCCATGACCAATGGAGGGTGGAGGTGGTACGTGGCATTTGCCTATGGAGTTTATTTCTGCCCTTTGAATCCCACATGAATGTCAAGTATTACTGACTCCTAAAGTCAGTCATAATTTTAATAATAATTTATTCTTTGTTCTAATATTTCAAAAAAAGAATCAAGCTGTCATTTGGTGCATTATGTTGCTAATACACATGGCATTTGCATCTGTAGTTTGTAAAAGGTGGAGCAAAAAAAGGACAGTTAAATTTGTGGGTGAAAGAGCTCCACCTATGAGGAATTACAGAGAGGCTACCTAAGCTGACAGGCTTTTGCAGTGTCTTACAGAGTGTTGTGGTAATGATAATAACTGAAGAGATAAATTAGGGTATATCGCGTGGGTTCAATCAATTCCTTGGATTTTCCATATACCAATTTGAGAGTAATTTATTGAGCAACAATATATTTAAGCAAATTTTATTAGATTTATTAGATTTTTCACAAACAATGCACCTTTCAAACACTAATGTTTTCAGGAAGGGTTCTTTATGAATAAAGGATATATAAAATCATTACAGTGATTTACTTTGCTGCTTATTATATAACATCTCCATTAAGGTTTTTTACAAATCATTGCCTTTCCCTTCTCAACATTAAAGTAACAGGCACTTGCAATATTGTATGGTTTCTGTGTGGTATTAGTGAGTTTTAGACTCTGTCTTTTTGAATTGTGATGTTGCAGCTCTGAGTGATTGGGTTGAATTTGCATTATTAATCCCACTGTATTGGGCATTTGCCTCCTGTAACAGCTGTAAGAAAAAGCTGTAGCTGCTGAACATTTAGAAAAACCTTTCAAATGACAGTACAGATGTACTGTGTAAACCTTGTTATCATTTAGAAGGAGTAATGGAGGCCCAGCCTAAGAAATGCAACTGCCAAAAAACACTCAAATAACTACCCATGGCACAAATGGTAGTTGGATGATGAACAATTTAGATTAGCTATTGCACAAACACTAGTCAGTGTTAGGTGAGCAAAGAAGACTAATTGCCACGTATGTGCTCCTTAATGGTGATTGGTGTTAAAGAACTATGGAGTACGTCAGTACGTGCAACACAATCACCTGAAGCAAAACTGCATTTACCAAACAACAGAGGTTCCTGAATTCTGAATGGATTTAGAAAGCCCAGATTCAGCTAACACCCTTTGAACTCAGGAGACCTGAAAGGTACAGGACTTTACTGCACTGGTAACCTTGAGGTAATCTCAATTAGGTGTAGTGAGAAAGAAAGATAGATAGATGTCATTGCTTTATAGATGTGTTTCAGAAATTGACATGTTAATTCTTATAATAGCTATGTGATGTCAAGGAAATATTGTTACACAAGTGTAAAGCAAAGAGAGAACTGAGCTAAATGTCAAGTGAGACATTCAGTCACAGTGGAGAGTGCAGTATAAAAGTTCTTTCCAGGAATATAACATTGCCTGTGCTCTAACTTGTTAGAATTTCCTCACATTAAGGAATAATTTTGTTTAACGTAATTATTCCTTAAAAATATATTTTACCATGCTACTCTGTAAATAAGTTATAAAACCTCTAAGAAGTTTTGCAAAAGCCAAGAATAACATCTCAAATTTCACATAGTTATGCCAACCAACCACACCATACACAGACCGTATTGGAATTTCAAAATCATTCCGGTTTGAAGGCACCGCTGAAGGCTACCTAGTCCTACTTCCTGTTCAAATCTGGGTCAGATTCAAAGTCTGAAAAGGTTGCTCAGGTTCTCCAGTTGGTATGTGAAAATCTCCAAGGAAGGACATTCCACAACATCTCTGAGCAGCCTGTTAATTTTTTTTCCCCACATATCCAACTGGACTTTCTCTTGCAACTGGGCATTTGTCTCTTATCATTTTGTAATTCAGCTCTGGCTTCATCTTCTCTATAATTCTCTTGTTAAGTAGTAGAAGTAGCCATTATATCCATCCCTAATCTTCCCTTCAGGCTGAACAAACCCAGTACTCTCATCCTCTGCTTCCTCCAGCCTCTTAACCATTTTAGACCTCCTCCTCTGGATTCTCTATAATTAGTTAAGATCTCTTTTACTAGTGGCTCCACAACCAGACACAGTATTGCAGGAGGGCATCATGATGACGCTTAGAAGGGTAATAATCACTTTGAATTATCTGCTGGTTACACTCTTGCCCATACAGTTAGCTTTCATCAACTGCAAGGCCACATTACTGTCTTTGTTCCTGTTCTTCTGCAGAGGTGCTCCCTAGCCAGTCAACTCGTGACCTGTGCTGGTGCATGGTGTTAATC